GAACAACCAAGCATCTGTCTATGGGTGAAAAACAAGCATTGTGAATCGAAGAGAAGATGAAAATCAACCAGGCCATTGCACCAATCAATCCTGGCCATAGCAGTGCACATTTGAATCTCCTCGAAGAAGAAAAAACCACTGGCCTGTCACCCCTAAGCAACCCAGCTGCTCGCACACGGTAGCACCAAGGAAACACCAGCGCAGCAGCTTATACAGAAACACTCTCTGAAGCAGCTGTAAGAAAGACCCTGGAAAACAACTGGTCAAGCTGCCTTGCACCCATCAGCAGAGGAAGCCTCCCAGCAGGGCACGAGTGAAAGGTATCACAATCACTGTTCACAGAAGACTTCCATGAACAAAAGTACACAGGCACACAGAAGCATGCAAACCCACTCATTATCCTCGCAAAGCAAGAACATCAGGCCACGGCAGGCCTGAATTTCGCCAAAAAGTACAGAGACACCGCCTCAGCCTGAAACATTTCTCGGGACAGAAGTTTCCACGGACTGATGAGACAAGACTAACCCTTTACCATTAAAAACACAAGTGATGGAAAGGCTCAAGTTTGAGAACAGAAATCCCCTTATCTCATGATCTCCACGACATCAATCTCAATCTGTAAACCACAGTGAGGTAATGTCAATGGCTTTTGGCTTGCATGGATTCTTCCTGTGGAGGGCTCATTAATCTTCACGATGATGTAACACACGATAGCACGTACCAAACAATGAACTCTGGCATATACAGATAACCAATTTTTCTCCATATCCTAAAGAAAGACTGCAACGAACTGATTCAGGAAGGCTCCTTCACATGCAGCCACAGACTGATGACCCAAAACACACCTCTGCCATCAACAACAAAGGAGTCTTCATCCAGGTAACAAGCAATGGAAGTGTTGAAAGTCAATTCCAGACCAAAACACTATAACGACGCATTTACCTGTAAAGAGAGACTGAAAGCGAGTAAACCCCCCCCCCCCAAAAAACCTGGGGGGAAAAAAAAGGCGCGGTCGAAAGCTGGAAAAGCATCACAAACAGAAGTTTGGGTGAGTCAAATGGGTCGCCAGCTTGATGAAGGCTACGCATGGCACAGCAACAGAATTCTGCAACCTAATATCAAGTCTTCATTCACTTTAATATTTAAGTTTATCCGCTCCAATACCTTCGCTTTACCTAAGAAAAAATGGTGTTCCGTAACAAATAACTGCCCTATCTTCTAAGTTGTGCTAGCAGATCCAGATACCAACTACTCACGTTTCCAACTATTTTGCGAGAAGTGTATAAGTTCAGCTATAATAACCTGTGTACAAGTCGTAATGGATACAATACTAATAAACTAAATACAGATAATGCTTGCGCAAATGGATCCTAATGGTGTGCTTTGCTTTAAGTAAAAGCTACTATACAATTGGAATATACTATAAGTACCAAAATGCTCACTTAAGTCATGTAACGTACTACTCGCAAAAAGGTACTGTGAATTATCAACAATCCTATCATCTTCGTGACGAATGCATTTTCCCAGTAATCCATGAGGGTTTTCAGATCGTTTATTCCTAGCTTTTTTCTCAACCCAGAAAAGACTTGCATTCCACCAAGCTGCTCATCACAAGCGGACAGAAGGGGAAAGTAAAGCTAGTAACCTAAAGCCTGTTACACAAATGTCACTGGAGTAAAATGTACAATATTTGCCCCTCAGCATGAGTCGGAGTAAGAAAATTAAAAAAACACTTAAGGTACCCTCCATTTGCTACTTAAGAACAGAACTTGGTACAGGTAGTTACCATTCCTGAGCCCACCTGTAGCTGACGCAGAAATTTTCTGAGGTGAGATGGTCCTGTGTGTGTATAACAGCAATGAGGAATGCAAACTTTTCATTTGTATGACATGATGAACAGATTTCATCATCAGACAGACAACCATAACCGGTCTCCACATGATGAACGGGCAGTAGTGTCGCACACCAGCTATATCTTTGCCAGCTAATTATGTAAAACTGCCATGTTGGTTACACCTCTAACTATAAATGCACAGGCAAAACCTAAATCTGAAACTGAGCATAGACATTCAGCGCTATTTGTTGTTTGTATAATCAATGTAATAGGACACATCTGGGAAATAAAACACACCTGTCAATCGCATGTTCCAATACTTTTGCTCACATGAAAAATGGATGGGTTCAAACACAAGGTGCTATCTTCTAAGTTGTGTATCAGATCCAGATATAAATACCTGGAAATAAAAGCTGAAATGCTGATCTCTTGTCTCATGTTCATCTTTTGATGTTAAACCCAAATGTTTTCAGTCTACAGCAAAAATAAAAGAATTGTCCTCACTGTTCCAATACTTTTGGAAGGGAGTGTATATATTTTGATTGTCTTATTTTCCATATATTTTTTATATATTGTAATATTATATACATATTCTTATTTTATATTTTCTATATATATTGTTACATATTATAATTTAATGCACATATTTTAATGTTCTTATTTGTTCTACTTCTTTTGTCTTTGTTTAGAAATTTGAGCTACTGTAATGCAACCAATTTCCCCCCGGGGATCAATAATGTATTTCTGATTCTGATCTGAATACTTCTTCTATCAATGGTCACTACAAAAGGTTTCTCTGTGCAATCCCTAAATTAAACATTTCCCATTTGTCACATCACTGATTTCTTTCCTACCTCTCCCTCCTGGGAAATTATAAAAATATAAAATTATGTTTTTTCCATCTATTCACTCCTTCCACCATTTTTCTGTGGACTGGAAGAATGGCAGCCTCTTAGTGTTTTATGTGTTTCCCTCCAAATCTGACTCAACTGACGCAACAGAGGCAGCTCCTCAGGACAGCCATTCGTCTGCTGGATTGGTCATTTGAAAGCTAGCGGACCTGACTGGTCAGAAGTGCTTATTCTGAGCAGTTACACAGGATATTGTATAAATATGGGGATAATTGCAGACATTTTTGAGCCAAATGCTAACATCAGAATGCTAACTTCACTTAAAACTACAAATGTGAACCACAAAGTGGTGCTGGATGAAAGATATGGGATGTATTATCTGGGAAACATTCATGTCTTTACAAAACCTTATCCAATCCATCCAACAGATGACAGCAGCCCATCAACGTACTTTGCCCTTGCATCATGCCCCTGCTCCCTTTTGGGTAAAAGCAGCACCTCTAATTTGACTGGCGGTAAATGCAGATTCCAATGTCAATTTACTAGCAGAAAATAAGAATACTGTATTGCTTTTTAGCTATTAGGAACCCAAATCCAGGAAAGCAAACAATTAGCACTGATCCTTTTGGTCTGCCTCCATCAAAGTGGACAAACCTGACAGACAATACTGAATCTCCAGGCAATGGATTTCTGACATCTTCAGCTTCTTCTGTGGTTAAGACACTATATTTAGCTGTTCTGGTCATCTGTCCAATGTGACTTTACTGTAAACTAATGGACTGGTTGGACAGCAGACTTTTTGGCATGTCATAGCAGGAAACTCACATTAACGTATTAATGATAGCTGCATTCCACTTAGGGAAGGTCCTGCTATTGTGCATTGTGTCACTGTTACTGGGTCACTTAATGGAACTCAGCCATTGTTACTATTATTAAGTCCATCAGTGTTTTTCTGGCTTTGAGAAGTCAATGTATCTTCTGTGCAACCAGTCCATTACATTTCTAGTTTAGATTGCTTAGATTAAGCAACGTTTCACTATGAGCCGAGAGAAGTGGAAAACAGTCAGTTTTTGTCCGACTTCCTACCTTACTTTATGCTATTTACAAGGTTCATTATTAGAAGGTAGTTCAGTTCAGTTTATGGGAATAGTCTGCCGAACCAAATTCCATTCTTAAAGCAGGTGTTTTGTGGTAGGGCGATATTGTCTCACGGTAAAAACTAACCTGTGATGTACTGACCGGCTGGTTCCCAGTTTACCATTTTAATTTTCTCTGCAGATGGCCTGAAGCCACAGATCTCTTCTTTTAGTGTCCTTCGCTCTTTGGGGAAGTAAAGAAAACCAAAAAGGCATGGTGCCACTAGTTTTTTCAATTGGGCTGGGGCACTTTTATAGGACTTATTTTCACCCAAAAGGGGCCAGTCTGATGACAGGATAATGAATTATACCAACTAACAGACCAACACTGGCCTCCTGAGAGCCGCATTTCTAGCTAAACAGATCATTTCATTAATTTCCCCCTTGGAGGACAATACATTTAATTGATTGATTGATTGATTGATTAATATGCTTTAGAAAGTGGTCAACATAATGTGAAAAAACACCAGTTATTTAAAGCCTCTTTGTGTAGGATCAGAAAATGTGATACTTTGACGACTGACGGAAGCCACTGTAATAAAAACTGTAAAGCCCAGCTGAATGCAAAAAGTTCATAGAAGGCATTCTGGGAAATGAATTACTTAGGAAGAAGTTAATCAGGGTGAGGAAAAGTGCAGGAAAGCTTGTGAATCTTTGTGCAGCCCCCTCAGTGAGCAGGACAGCTCACTGCCTTCCTGTAGCAGCAGAGTGACACCAAGTGGCCATTTTAGGTACTGCAACAAGGACATTGAGTATTTTTAAAACTCGGGGGGGGGAACAACATACCTTTGAGCTTTAAATATGGTAATAGAAATAGCAAATTGTATTATTTTATAATTGTAATCTAATTTTAGTGATATTATATAATATACAGATAACTGCACACATCTATAGAACACAAATAAATGAAATGTTAAACTAAAAAAAAAAAAGTAGCATAAAATGGAAGTACCAAAGTAAAAGAAAACTGACAACTTTAACCTGCTGGTGGCGCTAGAACAAAGGTTGAAGAATCTCATTAATTCATTCAGATTCTGCTACTGCTACAGCCACAGATATGTTTTTTGTTGAGAACAGTGATTTTGCAATAATACACTTGAATAAAAACAAATATGATAATATTCTTGGTGTCATGTTTGTTCTTTAATCTTCAATGGTTATCACACAGACCGACAAGTTTCAACATAAAAAGTATTCCAGTTCTTCACAGTATTGCATTTTGCACAGTGTTATACAGACTACAGAGTTTTTGAGTGAAGGCACAAAACTAGAGATTACTTCTGCAAACGAAATCCCTACAGACAAACATGATGAACCCAAGGATATCAAACTTGGTTTTACACAACATAAAACTAACTTTATCTCTACCGACTCACGGCAAGAAAGGTAGTAGTGTCATAATCAAACTAACAGTTAGAATACTTGTTCGGTTATGCTTTCACCCACTTCTCAAGCTTTTTTTCTCTCTCCGTCTCAGAGCTCTTGCACATTTTCCCAAAACATTTCAAAACACAGAAGTAATTAAATTTATTTTCCAGACCTGTGCATTAACCCTGCTGATTGTCCAATATACAACACTCCCTTCATATGAAATCCGACAGATCCGAGCTCCAAGTGCTCTGGGTTGGTTTAGTGCAACTTTCCTTCAAAGACTGTACCAATAAAATAGACCTCGCTCTGCTACAAAAGTACACATAGTAGTACAAGATAACAGTATTTTATAAGTACTTTTTTTTTGCTACATATGAAGCATGCTTTCACAGTAACACAATAGCTACATATGTAGTAGTAGTAGTAGGGCTGTCTCATGCATCTTCCACCACCTTCCAATGACATACAACAGGAAGCAGTACAACAGAGACAAACCTGAAGCACTGCGCACACTCCTCCAAACACACACGCACATCTTTCAACAGTCATGCTGCTGTTCGCATAAAAACCACAATCTGATTGTTGGTGGGATCATTGATCGATCAGGGTTTGAGACTCAGGGCCCAAAAGCTTTCATGCTGTTGATATTATACGTATATCAGTTCTTGGTTCTTTCAATTACTGAAAGCCAAAGACAACAAGGTTCAGCGTTAATGTTTTTCTTTACTTGCCAGGTCAGACAAGTGGCCCACATGCACACTTGAAAACTGTGTCTTTTTTTGGGCAAGCGAGTTGCTAGATATACTAGCCCCGGGCAATCCTTATTGTTGAGCCATAAACAAACAGGGTTTTTAGTTGACAGCAGCAGTAACGCTCACCAGTGCCAAAACTCACAAAGTGCTAAAGGACTCAGAGGTCTGATCACATGTGGATCTCTGGAATACTCAGTGGGCAGTTTGTCCAAATTTATCTGGATCGTGTTTTTAAGTGGTAAAAAGCAGTAGAGAGTAAACGTGACAAAATTCACGTTTACCATGAAGCCATCAAAACGACAGGAGGCAAATGCTTTTTAGCCTGTAAAACAGAATCAGGTATTCACTGAAACTGTTACAGATCTGATCGGGTTTGTTCAACTGATGAAATAAAATACAGGAAAACGATTGGCTTAAAAATTGGCAACTTCCAATAACTTTGGAATAAATCATAATTGACACAACTGCTAGTCAGGTCTTTGAAAAGGTGTCGGAAAGCTCTCTTCACTAAGATTTAATTATGAACTTATTGATGCCAATTATAAACTTGACTATTTAAATCACTAAAATCAACTAACTTGAAACAACTATATAAAAAAACAACACAATATATAATATAATACATACATAGCATCATTTCAGGGACCTTTCTAGGACCTGCAGTCAGTCACCCTGTTGAAAAGTAAAAAGACTTGATTTGTGTTTGTGACCCAGATAAATGTCCTGCCAAGTTAAAGTACTGTAGGACTACTACTTCCACTTGACGACACATAATAGCTTTGTATACAAAATATCTATCAACACTGTCAACAAAACCTAAACCACCGACAGCAAAGATACATTTTACACCGAATACCGTCTTTTTACATATACATTCTTATCATTGGATGAGTGCAAAAATGACGTGTAAACAGATCGTACAGAATGATGCAGAGACAGGAATGATTCTATTAAACAAGCCGCCATGAGCTGTTTAGTATACTGCAAAGGTACTGTATGCATTCACGGCACTGTAAGTCACTTTGGATGAAAGCGTTGATACGGCGTCATATATTTGTGATCGGAGAATCTCCACCCGTTTCTGTGTGAATGAGTGCCAGTTTAAGCCTGAACGACGAGACAAAAGTTAGGTCTTAAAACATGGCATCTCTTCAGTGTGAGCTATACGTTAACTCAAGAGTACATTCGTTATATGTGTGGGGTCCTCCAGACCTGGGCCAAACTGAACCTGCATGTATGTGGCTGGTTTTATCCGGTGATGCAGTGGAGGGTAAAATATGCAGTTTTCCAAAGACTGGAAGCAGGGCAACCTGCCTGGCTCCACCAAAAGTGAAAAAGCTCACCTTCCAAATAACTCCAAACCTGTTTTATTGACATGCTGTATAATGAAAGAATATGTCTGATGTAATTCTATGTTTTTGTTATTGTCAACAAATTCCACAAAAAGACCCTTTCTCAATACTTTCTGACTTCCTGTCTGTGGCTCTCAGATTCAAGCCTGCTGGTTGGAGTTGAGAAACTTTAAAGAACACCTCTCAAACATATAGTTTCATGAATAAAAAAGGCTCAGTAATTTCCTAAAAGCTGCTCACTGTAGTTTCTAACAGACAGGAGGAAATAGTGTGTTTGTTGGGGACTATTTTCAGCAGTGGATGAATCCACATTTGTTGCTCTAGTGAGTATTTGGTGTTTATGTTTTCACCTCCAATCAAGCAGTTGTCCCTGCTCTCCAGTCTTTGTGCTAAGCTAGGCTAACACACATACTGGACAGAGATAAATCTGATATCCATCTTCTCATCTGACAGAAAACAAGCTTACCTCCCAAAAATGTTGCACTCTTCCTTAAAAAAAAAAAAAAAAAAAGGTGCCATATTCTACATAACAAAAACAAATGTGTACACCTGATCTGGGATTACCCTCAACAACATCCCTGGTTTAATACTGCTTTGGTAGCAGATTGGTGGCTGATTGGCTACATAAGACCAAGACTGCCCGAAAAAGTAAAAATCACAATAAAGTATTTCCAAGTCAATATATCTAACGTTCCTCTCTATGTACAAACAGCGGACAGTATCTGGATCCTAATGTAGTGAAACCTACTCAAACTAAAGCCAAGAATTATATGCAAAGGTTATTTGACTCAGGTCTGGTGTCATCAAACTCCTGTCTGTGCTTTACGAACCAAACCAGAGCTGTGAGGGCAGAACGTAACAACAACTCAATCAAAATAAAATGTTTTTAATGGATGAGATTATTCATTACCATTATATCTACAGCAATTAATAACAATTAGAGCTACTGCTTCAAAAGTATGAAAGACAGTATGAGTGGAGGATGGGACCGACAGTTTTGTTTGTTATCTGTTATGAAATTCGAATCTAAATCAATTATAACTAAACTATTTCACTATTATCATTGGCCAGATAATGCATTTCTGATGGGAACAGAAGCACCCAAATATGACCATGGCTTCCCCCTCGCAGTGGGACCAAATTTGAATCAAAAAATGCTATACAGCTGCAAAAAACTGGGAGTCTTAAGAGAGAGTCTAGTGGATACAGAAGCGTCTGCCTGACCTTCTAAGAGGAACAGACTCCATCTGTGAGGATGAACCCTGTAACCGCCCCTACAGGTCTTGCTGGTGGGGGTGCAGATAGTGCAGGTTAGATATTTGTGCAGTATATATGGAGCTTACAAGGACACCAAGGACACCAAGGACAGATTTACCATTCAAAATTTGTTTCCAAACAATGGGTTCATGATTTCAGACAGAGGTAGACAAGAGCAGGCTCTTCATTTCTTACTGGGAAATGGTGATTTTGTCGGTTAAATGACACTGTTGCTGGCAGATTTGATCAGCTGCAGCTAGCAAGCTAATTAAGCTAACTTTGACTCCATGAGTTGGTTGAAACCGCAGTCTCCGGCTGACTTTTTAATGCTTCAAACTGACTCGTTTTAATAGGCGCTTGATGGCTACATGCATGCTGAAAGACTGGGGCTAAAGCTAACACTGTTAGCTTATGAACTTACTTCCACACTTTTCTTTTCACAAAAGAAAAGGTTTTTAAAAAATTCAAGGCTTAGCTCTGGTTGCTAAGCTAGGATTGGACAGTGCCTGTTTGGTGGAAGGTTTCAGCGAACAGTCGATTGACGACCTACGTCAGCTATCAAGATGATCGCAGGCAGTGATCGCTGCCGTTTGGCCTTCAAAGCACAGACAGAGTCAAGATAACTGGACTGATGTGGACTTTTTGGGAACCGGGCCGGGATGTAAAGGTTCAACCAGAGGAGAGGACGTGTCATCAACATCACTGTTTATCCTCATTCCATCAGATTCAGTAAGAAGACTCTCTTCAAAATTCAACTTGCTTCCATGATCTGACCTCAACTGTAATCAAATCAGTAGATGAATACAAAAGCACATTTTTACCTGAAGTTTCTCTAAAATACAGAGATGATTCAGAATGGAAGTATCACTAAAGACTGAGATTACCTGTTATACTTTACTAAATATTATGATTTGTGCTAACAAATGAAACAAAAGACGAGAAGCTATCATTCATTTATATGTTTGAATACTGAATGTTTACATCCCGAAAAAGCACCTAGTACCTTTATAATGGTCTATTGCAGTATGGTAATCTATGGAAAAGAACTGTGTTATATGCAATAACACAGCGTTACCAATACAAAATCTTCAATACAATGCGACACCACTATGGTCATGCATTAATATTTGTTATTGCATTATTATGTTCTTAAACCCTGTTATGCAGTAATAGTTACTGTAAAGTGTAATGTGATTTCTTCAATTTGAAGCTATTGGAAAAATTACTTTTGCATTAGTGTTTGTAGTCATTCTCATTGGGATCTGCAGCCGACATAAAAGAGTTATTGATTTATACTTTAGTGTAATCTCGTCTCTTATGTTCTATGGTTTTGTTACTTTGATTTATAAAAATAATTTCATACAAATTGCTATGGAAGCATAATTCAGCTATACAATGCTATACAAACATTTAATTTAACATTTGTAAAATTATTTCACATAATATGCAAAGTTTCTAGGAAATTCTGCAAAAAAAAACCCTTTTTTAAAAACTAAAATGTGTTGGATTCTTTTCATTCTTAACTAATAACGAATACAATTTGCCAATCAAGTTTCTAGGTTTATACCCTCCTGCACAATATATGCAGGAAACTCACTTACATTTAGTCTAAATTTACAGAGGTTCAAACATTTTCATGTCAAAATAAGATTTTATAAACAACTACTTCCTGTTTCTGCTTTAATCATCACCTACTAAGAAATTGAAAAATGCCATTTCAAAAATGTCACCAACCGGTAACCCATGACTCAGAAGTTATTGCCGTCCAGAAAAGTTAGACATTTTAGTCAAAACAACAAATGATTTAAGCATAAAGGTTTGTCTGCACTCTTCTAGCTGTATAAGAGCATCAGTCGAGATTTACATTAACCGCAGTGTATTGTTTTAAATGATTATACAGAAGCAGGAAACACCTCCGAGTTAACTGCTCTAAAGAAGCTGGATGTGAATGTGAGCTCGCAGTACTTTTCCATAGGTTAACACACTGGAATAAAGTCATCGCTTATATAAAGTTTGACCCTTTGACACCCCCTCTCCCTGGTGTTTCTCTACAGTTCTATGCCTCGTACCCGGCGGACCGGCGGCGCTGGTGGTTCCAGATGTCGTCTCTGTGTTCGGGTCGGCAGAACAGCCTGGACGACTGGGCCAGCCGCTCCCGGTGCTCCCGCTCCCGGTCTCGCTCTCGGCCCGGTTTGGAGAACAGAGGACGGCCGCCAAACTTGGAGGAAGAGTGGGTTCTGCTGTCGTGGAGACCAGACGAGGAGAGCTGACCTCCCGCTGACCTGGAAATGTCATATGAACATGAACAAATAAACATATTGGTAGGGAGGAGGTTGTAAACCAGACCCATTTTTGCAAATTTTATCACAGTTTTTTTCTTTTTCTCTTACAAAAGACTAAAAAAAGAGTTACACAAGATCCTCCAATGGGCGTCTCCTTCCATCTGTTCTTTAAAAAGCCACTAGTTGTTGGCTCCAAGCAAAGTCAATGCAGACCGGGAACACCCCACAA